GCCTTCAGCTCTATAACTCGCAAGTCCAGCCGCATATGGAATACCGTTCTCATCTCTATGCAGGGATCACCTCAGTACCAGGCGTACCATCTTCTCCCTCTGGACCCAGCGACTCGAATCGTCAATAGCCCAAATATCACCGATCGCCGCGACCCCTTGGCGTTACGTAGAGATGTGGTTTCACTCTGCTTTCTCTATCCCATATATCATGGAGAGTGCTACAAGGAATAATTCGGACTAATACCAGCCGCAACTTTCCGCCATCATTCCAGAGGTCAAAATTTTCATCCTCATCACGTGGAAAGTTGGCACACAACCAATCTGTGGAACGGGTTATCGTCTGCGGTATGTCCGGACCGATATGACCTTCAAACCTTCAAGAAAAGAGCGTACTCCTTCCTAAAAAGCCGGCAACGCTTTATGACTCCTGAGTTGCAGACGTTCATGGGCGGCGATGGTCCCTTTCCATCAGGTAACCCGTCTGCTCGTCTTCCCCCCTAACATTTAATAAATTGACCCCGATGACCCACTCCTCTGTAGGATCCCCCATATTTCCATTGTGCTCTCGAAAGGGCACGCGCGCTCCGCAGCGCGTCTCGCCGCCACCCCAGCCTGCTTCTGCTAGGGGATGGCCTATCACTGCCAGGCTTGCGCTTATGGAGGATAGAGGTCGTTCTGCAACCTCCGGCGTCTGAGTCGCCTGCGGTATCTGGACCGTGTCCGGGCCGGCCGCGAGAGTTCTAAACCTTTCCCAGTCCACTCCGTCATCTCCTTCGCATGCATAACTTGCTCGCTGCGGTCTTTCAGTAGTGCGACGTTGCTGGCCTTCAGGGCCCCCGACCATACTGGGGCCCATAAATGGTCATGGACCGCACAACCCCCAAGTGAAGTCTCTAGGAGGATTCATCGGGTCCCCTCATTTTGGCCAGCAGTCCAGCAACCAACTTGGAGACCAGACTTTGGAACTGTCATCCGAAGTCCCATCGGCCATCGAGTACCAGCCCCAGATACCTCATCGAGGGCTGCATGCCAATGCGGGTGTCTCCTAATATGATGCTGGATCTTTCTAGTGACTTCCTCCGAAGCCCATGAAAGAACAAGGCCTCGGATTTTTGCGGAGCCACCTCAAGACCCAGCCGCCGAATCCGCTCATCGACTTGGGCAACCTCGGTCGTCGCCCTCAGTGTTGCCTCACGGTGTGTCGTGCTGCTCGCCGTCACGAGTGTGTCGTTCGCTTAGTACGTGACGGTGACACCATCCAAGAAGGCACTACGAGGCACCCAGTCATAGCCGATGTTCCACAAGAGTGGCCCTAACACCGACTCCTGTCCAACACCGCACGACATTTCACATCTACTGAGACCGGCCTTACTAGGCGGCGGAGCTAGAGAGGCACTTCGTGATACAGGAGCGCCTCCTTGATGCAACTCGCTGACACCGCCAACACCACTTCGCCCCGGGAAACTGCTTAATCCGTCAGACCCCTTACGCGCATGATCGCATCAACGGTGGAGCCCCCCCGAACAGACACCTTCCTGATTGTTGGCCAGGTCCGGTCCACTATGACGAGATGCTTGACTAGGCGCCTTGCAATCACTTTTCGAAGAGCTTACACACCTCGTCAAGCAACACTATGCACCGATAGGCGGATGGTGAGTCCGCCAGGCGCCCCTTCTTTCGGATGATAATTAGTTTCCCCGTCTTCGACAATTTCGGAAACTGGCATCGCTCGAGGCATGCGCTGAAGAACCCTCTCAGTCGGGGCTCGAGGGCCTTGGATGCCATCAGGTCCCAGGGCGGTGTTTTTGGCTTTAAGCCGTAGCAGCGCCACGCTTAGTTCTTCCCAAGTGATTCCACCACTCGCGATGAGAACAGGGAGCCGACGGCCCCCTCAAGCAGCTCTGGCTAAAGACACCGGGTGAGCGGCAGGGCCCATGGGCGCATCTTGCCCCTAACCATACGGTAGGGAGGTCTCCAGCAACACACGGGCTTCTCTTTTGGCCTTGGTAACCCTGTATTCCGCTAACAGCTCCGCCTCCCGCCTTGCCGCGTCTTCGGGATAGCGACGCCTTTTGCGGAAACTGGACCACTGGCGGCGCGCGGTCACGTAGGCCTTTTTCTGTTACAGTTTTCGGTTACTTTGTCTGTTTTAAAAATATTAACTGTATTATAGCTATCACTACTTGACTATCTTTATTTTATCATCTACGATAACCCCAATTTCGTCAGTGATCCCTGAAATAAGTGACTAGTATAAACCTTCCCTAGTATTATTTGTTAATTATATGATAAATTTACCAACAAATTGAATTAAAGTGAAGGAAGATTTGACTGAATTATATTATAATTAGTTAAAATATATCGTTACATTCTTGTAATTCTGTCTCTTATACTGTTTATCTACTACATTAGTTTACTATCTGTATGACGAGTACTCATGGGAAGCACGCTGTGTGTGGCTTTGTTCTGTAAATAGTGTTAAAATATAGCATCTCTTTTGCCTATAACCAGAATACTACAGAAATATGGCGTGCCACATTCGTGCTGCATGTTTATAGTTATGTAGTTATCGTAATATCAACTAATTGACGTATCCCAGAAATATCTAGAGAAGTTCGTTCAAAGAGCGTATCTACTTTTAAAAAACTATAAATAAATGTTTCTGTTTACGATTGATACTGCTTATCTGGAGATTGTTGTAAATAAAACTGTTTATGGGTTTATAAATTTTTATCGCTTATCATTCGATGTAGGTGTGCAATACACTTGATTATGACATATGTGCCAAATGTGAAGACAAAGATGTTTTTAGAACTTTTTTAACTTGAAACTGTCATATTTCCAAGTTAGTTATATCAACAGGATATGGTAATTTTTAATTTTTTGTAAATTACTCTTTGCGTGCATAATAAAATACCCTATTTAAAAAGTATTTTATTTGATTCTAAGGCATCAACAAGCAACCAGAAAATTGATTAAACACATTTTTATGGCTCTGGGTATGGCCTCAAGTACTCTTCCTCATTCGGTGAAAAGAAACGATAGAAAAGAACCTTTGAAACCTTTATACCGGATAGAGCGGATAGAGTTTGACAACGCAGCCTAGAATCTAAAAGAGGACATTGGCTAAGTTTACTGCGAGTATGTCTATTTAAAAAATATTTACTGCATTATAACTATCACTACTTGATTATCTTTATTAAATTATCTACGAAAACCCCGATTTCGTCAGTGATCCCTGAAATAAGCGACGTGACCTTCTTTTGTATTATTATTGTTAACTATGTGATAAATTTACCAACAAATTAAATTAAAGTGAAGGAAGATTTGACTGAATAATAATTAGTTAGAATATATCGTCACATACTCGACGCATAAGGGACCACCCTTGGGTTCTAAATGCGGAAACCGAAGCCTACAACCAGTACCAATAATACATACTTGTAATTCTGTCTCTTATACTTTTTATCTATTACGATCACGATCTGTGTGAAGAGTACTTATGGGAAGCACGCTGTTTGTGGCTTTGCTCTGTTAAAAGTATTAAAATAAATCACCTCTTTTCTTGCCAACTCTTCTACCTATGACCAGAATTCTTATTATCTACAGAAATACGGCGTGCAACATTCGTGCTGCGTATATATTTGTACTTATTTATAACATTAACTAAAGAAAGATCTAAAGAAATTTCTCTATGATGCACCAATAGGGCGAGTGATTACAGAGGCGGGTTTAAATGTATAATACGTACATACAATATAGTAAAGGACATCTTAGAATTGCAATACAATGTAATGTTAAGTCGCAACACATGTTTTTGTGCACTTATGTGTGACATGTCGATTGTGGGTGGCAGCCACCGGCAGGAGCGGAGCGGACCTATAAATATTGCATATAAAGATGTCCCGTAGTATAACCTCATATCATATCAACCACTTCAGGTACAACACAAAAAAGCGCCTTTATTTTGTACTATGTAAAGAAGACTAGCGATCCGCCCCGGTTTTACACGGGCACAATGTAGATACTACTAATGTGGTGTCAGTGTAGAGTACCTAATTATACAATAGTATAATATCAAGGCGCTCTTTTGTGTTGTACGCTTACATCTTTTGAATCAAGCAACGGATTTTAATACGGTTTTCACCAATAGGTAGAGTGATTCAAGAGGAAGGTTTATATGTATAATACATGCATATTACAGTAGAGGTAATCCGAGAATTTCAGAGATTTGTAGTAAAAAATATGTTTTTGCAATTTTATTACAATAACATGATAACCTTGACTTTATTTCAAATGGAAACAGCAGAATTCTCAAGACCTAACCAACTAACAGCAAATTTGTATTTCTTTTTTTAAATGATAACTCCCGCACCAAGAATAAATTCTGTGTTGCGGGGGACTTTACACATATACATGAAACGGACACAAAGAACACCCAGACTCAGAACAATATTTACGCTCGGCGACATGCACACTAGCGTACAAGTAATGTTCTATCGACATGAGATTTGCCCCAAAAGTTGGCAAGTTGGAACTGCTGCTTCTGCACTAACAAAAGGGATTTCTTTTTTAATTTTATGGATGAATATTTGGTTTATTAAAAAGTTGCTAAAAAATCACATGATTAATAGACGACACCTATCCAGTAAAAGTAAAAAATAGTTTTAAGTGCGTTCAATTTTACAGGTACACACAATTTTAAATTATTGCTTTTTCGTTGTTTATGGCATATCCTCATTCTTCTCTTACGAACATAAAGTTATGAACGTGTAAAGAAAAGTAATTAAATAGGAACCTATTCAAAATGTAAAAGTTTCATATTTTATCTGTGGACATGGCTTTCTTTTGACATTAGCAGATTTATTGACGTTTGATTGAAAATATTGGACGTGGTTTGAAAAACTTGTTTTTATTTATAATCGCATACATATATTGTAGGCTGGTGTTTTCCAATTGTTAACAGGTTTAAATATAAACTAAAATAAAATTTAGCAACTATGGATGAGGATAAGTTTGCTTTGGTTGAGAAAATATTGAAGGACCTCGATAATGTTATGTCGAAAAACGCTGAGTTGTAAATATTTACTTTTTATTGGCAATTTTTCAATTAATTTTGTTTGTTATTGAGTGCATGAGTTGTAAAATTATGATATTTTTAGGTGTGCTTTCGACATAGTCCCCGTGGAGTGTAACTTCCAAAATAAGTCGCCTGTCCTACATTTAGAGAATTGTTTAGGATTGGAGTCATGGTGTGTAAAGCATGTTTATATGTATTGCTATTCTGAACTTATGGATAAATATTTCACGAAGCCAAAGCGTAAAATCGCCAAACCCTCGTCAATGAATTCTGAGAGGTTGTCTCGATTACTAAATGTTACTATTTTAATTAATCCTGATATTACATCACTGTGGAATAAAAGGAGAGAAATGGTCATGAAGTCATTATTGGAGAAGTCAAGGGAGTTACAGTTCACGAAGTTAGTGTTGTCAAGAAAGCCCAAATGTAATGATGCCTTTGGGTATAGAAGATGGATAATAGAAGCAATACTTAAAGGTAAGTAATATTATTTCATTTAAATTTGTCAGATTTTTCAGTTCAAATAGTCCAAATTTGGAATTTATTCTATCAATGTTCTAAATATAAAAGGTTTTATAGGGTTTTCATTAGCTCACATGTTTGAGATAAAAAAAACAACGCTTTGTGATTGGAAAAATATTTGCTTGATTGAAAGAACACTTCGATAATTGAAATGTCTAGATAGACTGTCAAAAAAAGTAACCAAACCTGCTTAATAAAGTTAGCTCGTTTGTTTTAATTGTTTTGTACTGCCCTTTTTGTCATCCATGCAATAAGTCATGTTACTTGGCTTTATGACTTACTGTACTTACAAAAAGTATAGTGCATCAATTTTAATGAAAACATACTACTGTTTATGCATCTATTGTATACTTGACCAACCAGTAAAGTTTCTAATATGTCATCAAAATAAAATTTCAGATGATGCTGTTCAGAGCAACTACATAGAAAATATAATTAATGATGACTTACAAATCTGTGAGATAGCTTCTGATAAGAGTCCAAACAACTATCACAGCTGGAACCATCGAATGTGGATTCTAAAAACTCTCAAGAATATAAGAAAACAGTTTGATTTAAATTTCATACACATTAAAGAATATGGCTTTTCTGAGCGGTGGTCATCAAAGCATGTGTCAGATTTCAGTTGCTTTCATTATCGCCAGTTCTGTATACAAAATATCTTTACAATTAAAGATGACAGTTGGAGATCTTTTGAGAATACTGTTGATGTAAATCTCAGGAAAACCTTTATCGGAGTTCTCGCTAAAAATTTCTCTAATGATGTCATGGGACAACCTTCAGAGGAGAAACTGCTGACCTATAGTGATGATAATATTATTAATTTAATACTTGGTTATTCTGCAAAAAATTGTAACTGCCCGCAAAATAATACACATGAATTTAGGAAATTAGTAATTTTGTTCCATGAATTAGTTTTAAATAACGAATTACTAAGGTTTTACAAGTTTCATGAGACTTTGTGGTATCACAGACGTTTTATAGTTCATGAGGTTATAGCTATTATCTATGATCACTTTGATTTGATCAGACAGAATGGTGCTCTGGTAAAGAATGTATGTAGGAAATGTAACAGAGAAGAAGTGAGACAGAAGCAAGTTAAAATTGTAAGGTATGATAGTAATAGAATATATTCCAGTCTACTGTTCAATGTTTTACTCACTCATGAGAAAAAATTTGTTGAAGAGAGGAGAAGTGATTCAGACAATTATGCTGATAGACACGAGAAGTATTTGAAGTTTGTGGAAGGTCTCAATACTATGATGTAATGTCATTGACTATGTTTCAAAAGACTCGTAGGCAGATATTTAAGTACAGATGTCCATTATTTTCTTAAGCAACTTTATAAAAAAAAACTTTTAAAATAAGTTTTTATATTTTATGCTGTTTTTTTTAATTGTAAGACATAGACAATGTAGAATTATCACTTTAGACTATTTAGAATAAACAACTTCAGAAAAAAGAAAACAATGGATAAATGTATTTATGTGTAGGTTAAGAATTTTAACTACTCTTTTTTATGTAGTAAGTATTTAAAAAACATTTATTGCATTTTCAGGTTTTATGATAATTCAAAGAGTTATAGAATTAATGGTTTCTAATTTAAAAATATGTAATGTAATGTTACATTATGTAATAAGTATAGGGAATAGTGCAGTAGTCACTTGCTACTAATCCGCTAGAGATGCATTGTATCACTCTTATGAATAATTACCTATTAGGTACAGTTTATACATGTTTCTTATACAAATCGTAATGAATTTGTTGTCAAAGTATGTGTAAATAATATAAGAAGCAATAAAATTATTCACTAGTGTTATCATATAAAATAAGTTAGACATTTTATTATATTATATTGTTAGTTTAGTTCTTTTATGTAATTTTATGTCATGTAAATGTTTTTTTCTCAGGTTAATCATTATCACACATATACATCACACGTCACAATTTATTTAATGAGTACCATTTTAAGTTGTCTGTACATACGCACCTTTAAAGGTGAATATACACTAATTGTTTAAATTTTAGACTGCTAGATTAATTTGTTATTGATATGAGATATTAAGTTGCACTTTATAGTCCTGTATTCAACAACAAAAGGGATTGTTTAATCAATCGTTTTATCCATGTGTAAAATTAAAATAAACAAATAGTTAATAGAAAGACCACAGTTGAACAAAACACTGCCAGTGTTTCAGAGTTACAAAGTGTAAATAGTCAGTCAAACTCAGTTAACTCAAATAATGTCTTAAATTGTGCTCAACTATTGAACACACAAACAATTATGTGTAGTAGGTGAGCAGGCTCATACAATAAATATCATCGGTTTTTTTTTATGGGATTTGAGTCTCGACGATTATCATTTTTTTGAAGTGCTGTATGTAGTATTTGACACATGCTGTAGGTAATATTTGATTGGCCTGTTGGTTAAGTAGTTAGAGAAGTCCACTTAGTATAAATATTGTGTGATGAGCACATAATAATTTGTCCTATGTCTGTGTATTGTTTACATATAATATGTAAATGTGTGTCTGTCTGGTTACCACCATGCTGAGCTTCAGCATAGTTTGGTTCCAGACGGCCGTGTGTGAGGTGTTACATCAGTTGACCTCTTTTTATAGACAGAGAGAAAGAAATATTTATTTGCACAGAACACAGGTGGTACCAGATTTAGCAGTGGTGTATTGTTCAAGCTATATTCTGCCTGTATTAGGCATGCAAATATTTACATTGAAACACAAATTAACTATTAATAACAAAACATCAAGATATTTCCTTATTATATTAACTAATAAAATTAACAAAATGTCAGGAAATATTATTGCATATTTAGCAAATAAATTATTATCACATCACATTATATTAAAAATTTACAAATAATCAGTTACATTAGTTTTATACTGTATGAACTCTTCCATCATATAAAAGCACTTATCAACTAGCCATTTTCTCAACATAATTTTATAATATTTAGATGGAAGTTCCCTGAGGCTCTTAGGAAGTTTATTGAAAACTGATATGCACATGTAGTATCATTCAGTATCAGTGTTTAGGCAACATTACAAAAAAAGAAGGTTATTTAAAAATAAAAACTAATTTATTTAATGGAATTACATTTTAAGTTTGACTATGTAATTTAAACAATGAATTTACCAAATATTTTATCGTTAATACCAATCGGCTAGATGTTTGAATAAAAGACATTTTATATCTCAATAAAATAAAATTATAGAATATTACTGTTAGTCGTTTTTATTTCGTTATTCTGAAGTATAAATCCTGTGAAGTGTATGAAGCGCTAACAGTTTTATAAAAAATCGTGGTTGTTAAATAGAAATCTTGTTTCGAAACTAACTGAATTTGTTTATTTTTATTTTTTTGAAAATTGATCGATGAAGCGAGACGAGTAATCATCGTAGCCATCGACAGCCTTTAATAATGATGGACATAACCTCTCCTTAGAAAATTGGAATTGTTATGTAATTATTTACTAAAAAGTATGTGCATCGTTTTTCCCGTTTTTTTTTCTATAAATTCGTACAAGAAAACATAAATGCTGCGTACTACGGCCGGTAGCGAGAGATCCACTCCGATGACTGCAGTGAGGGCCAGGCGCTGCGTCGCCCATGCAGGGCAGACCGCCAGCGTGTGCTGGGCCGAGTCCTCACTGCAGTCGCAGTGGTGGCAGGCGGGACTCAATTCCCTCCTGGCGACTGAGTGCAGGTACTTTCCGAAGCAACCGTGCCCGGAAAGCACCTGCGTCAGCCGGAAGGAAACGGTCCCGTGCTGCCGCCCGGGTGCTGCCGATGACCGGCCGGAGAGTCTCCAGCCGGAACGACCATCTAACCATCGTGGCTCGGCGAGCGGCTTAGCGCCACTCGCGCACGTCTTGGGGCGGAGGGCGAAATCCGCTCTCCGCCCGGAAGTCAGCCACTCGCCGATAGACTTCGGCGAGCACTTCCGCCTCCAAATCCCACGGGGGTGTTCCGGCCAAGGCGCAAGCCGCCTCGGTGGACGCCCTGCGGTATCCGCGTAACCACTATCTTTCGCCCTTTTTTTTTTTTTTTACGTGTGGAAATCCCCTCGGACCGTCACCCCGTCGGGGCTCTCGTTCGGCGGGGCGGTGTGTCGGACTCGAACCGACTAAAACCACACGGTGTGCCCTCTTTGCGCTTCCAGTTTAGGGGGGGTCCAGGTAGTTATCGCCTTCTGGACCCCTCCCAGCGCCGGCCCGCTCCTGTTGCGGGCTCCGTCTCAAAATTTTCCTCTCTTTAGGCGACGTCCGGCACACGCGGACGCCGCCCCCTCGCGGCTGGCCAAACTAATGCGGGTGGAGGGGAGAACCCATCCCGTCCACCCGCGGCCACACTCAGGGCGGCATGAGGCGCAGGTGAGCGCGCCTCCTCCGCCCGGTTCGCCGGCGGCGGATCGACCATCTTTCGCCCTAAGCCAACCTCACCTGCTCGCAATGCATCCTGCTGAATGACGAACGAGGCTCTTTCGACCGACCGATGGCGGTATATCCATTTAGACGTAGCTAAATGTAACAGGCCGCAGCAGCATCACCGGTACGGTACGCTACGCCTTGCGAACGCCAACCCGCCTGCCCAGCGCAGCGTGGCGATTAAAGGGCAAATCCTCCAAAAGGGTAGCGTCATTATCAAGCTCACCGAGAGGTATAGCCTCAAGGTTGTGCAAGTGTACGCACCGACCTCGGACGACGAGATGGAGGATATGTTCGATGACATATCGAGGGTACTCCACTTCACCACAAAGACCCACTACAACGTTGTTAAGGGTGACTTTAACGCTGAAGTGGGATTACAGAATTGCAGCGAATCGGTAGTAGAATCAAATGGATTTGGAAGCAGGCATCATGGTCGACAAATGCTCGTCAACTTGGCCTGACGCTGAAGTCTCTTGATGAAGGGGCTTGATGAATTCCTTTTTCTTGAAACAGCCTTAAAGGAAGTGGACGTGGCAGAGCCCCAACGCTTTGACCAAAAATGAGATCGAATTCATCCTGAGGGATAAGAAGCACATATTCAGAGACGTCTCAGTGATCAATAGGTTTAATACCGGTAGCGGTCACCAACTTGACTAAGGCTCTCTGAATATCATCGACTTTAAGGCTGAACGGATACGCCGTTTGATAGGTAATATCCAGGCTCTGCTGACAACCAACAACTCTGCTGCAAGTCATGATAGGATCTGAAACGTTCGACATCTATGAGAATCTTCCACCCGTTATCAAGAATAAAAATAAAAAATAGTTTAAAAAAACTAAAAAACACGCTTACATGACAATACACTAATTAAAAAAAAATAGTTTTAAAAAACTATTATAAAAAACACGCTTTTTATAGAAAACCAAACTAAAAAATCAAAAATAAATTTTAATAAATTTGGTAGAAATTGCCAGTAGTAAAAGCACCCCACGCTTTTTTTTTTTTTTTTTTAAATTAGTGTATTGTCATCGGTCCTCGATATATCTACAAAGTTTGAACGAATTCTGACCGTTTAAAGTCAGTCAAAATCACGCCCAAAGGAGTCGGTTACAAACAAACATACAAGTGAAGCTAATATAAAGCGTGTAAAAAAATGAATGGAGCGTAAAAATTATAGCTTATTTTATGCCCTTACCTGACCTCTCACAACGTATGTATGGTTATATATATGTATATATAGGTTAGGGCGTAAAAGGCTAATAACGAACAAACGAATACTTATATATTTAAAATTGATTCAGTCACCACCGGTAGGAAATTAGCCCTATCAATACAGTAAGGTTTCTTACTGCTAGAAAGAAGGTTACGAAAGCATTGTTTTCGTAAGTGGCTACCGTCCGAGAGTCCTTATAATGACACCAAAAGTATTAACTGAGTCGGCAACGTTGTGCGAAACCGTACCTATTGCTATCCTTCATAGACTACGGTTAACACTTAAACTTAAACTTACTAAAAAGTACAATATCGTTGGAGATCGAACAACAAAAGCAATATTAACACAATGAAAATAGACAAATATAAATTGTACACAGAAAATTGGACTCGGTTTATTATATTCATGTAGAATGTCATATTTCGTATTTTAACTTTATTCCAAGAAATTTAATAAATGATTGCTACATATCTGAATTTTTGTCATTTTAAAGAGTCTACCAAACTTTTTTATTACGACAATTGTCGAAAGTGTTGCTTTTTGGCGGTAGCACGCGTAAAGTGTGTCGAATTCGTGATTACTTATTTTTCAAGAAATACGTATTCCA